TCTGAAACACTCCAAACTCTTAATTCATGTAGACTGTACATAATAAGGCAGAAAGGAGATTTAGATGCTTTCAAAATATTTTCAGTAATAATTGTTCAAGTGAAAAGCAGGAGTCTTTGAGTTACTATGCAGAATATTCAGTTCACACACAAAGATCCCATCCTGTAAGAATTCCAGTTAATTCTTGTTCTCATACAGATTTTTTTCAAGATCATAAGAGATTTTTAAAACGTATGGGATGTGAATGACAAATTCTCGTCCTGGGTGACATAAGTCACATAATTTCTTCCCTAAGTCCCCACTTCTTACTTTCTGACATAAGTATAAAAGTTCCTTGAATTTAGGACAGACAAAACAAAAGATAAATATCTCCAAAGTCCAATGAAAAGCAGGAATATTTTATGTTTAGCTAAGAACTTTCTATTCAGTGATAGAATGTACTAGGGACAACTTCATAGTGGGTCCCCAAAGCAACTGGAATTATTAACAGGCTTACTACATTCATCAATTGCAGTTATACTTTTTCCCTCTCTCAGTCCTTCATGACACAGGAAGGTCAAGTTTCTAAATCACTGAGCTAAATGTTATGGTAGTATAGCCAATGATGAGAAAAAAAGACAAGTGATTTGTAAACCAGTAGTAGGTAATCTATAGAATATATGTTTCCCAGACAAAAATCTACCAAATGCAAATACTTGAAAAGATGCTCCAAGAAGTTGTGGGGAACCCACAACTCTTATATCCCTTTGAGAGTATATATTTCAGTCAAGGTTTGCCATAAATGACATTTGGGTTTGGGACATGTCAGGGCATTCAACGTATACAAAGCCATTAGTTTCTAAGAAGCTGCAATTTATGAAAATTTCTAACATCAGCAATCTTATACCTTGAAACAGCAAATTTAAATGTTTCAGGGTTTTATTTCTTTTAAATTAGCATCACCATTTTAATATATATTACTGCTTCATCTCTTATTTCATTTATTAAGGAGTTTACAAATCACCTCTCTCTCTCTCTCTTTCTCTCTCTCTCTCTTTCTCTTTCTCTCATCTATCTAATTTTAGTTACAATAGCACCTAGCACAATTGTCAGCCTAGATCTCCACATGCCATAATTACTAATTATATCTTAAGTCTTACTCCATGTCATTTTTATGTTTGATGAATATTCTTTTTCCTGGGGCATGTTGAAATTCATTTCATAATGAATATTATTGAATGACTTGCCCTCTTTGTGTCACTAGAAGTAGATATAAACATATGACAAAGTACACTATAGAAGAAAAGTATTAAATAAATTTAAAGTATTATAAAGATGATCTACTTCCATTGGATTTCATTATGATGTTTCACCATGTATTCAGCTGACTCTAGGTTCCTCAAAGTTCTGTCAGTATGCCATATGTTCTAGGCAGGTTCTACCAAGGTAGGGAGGCTTAGGCTATAGTCATGAAAACTTATCTTGTCTCTTATATGAAGACTAACTGAGTTAGTTTCTCACTGAGAGTGTCACCCCCAGAATATGACCATCAAGTCATATGTTTTGGTTATTGCAAGGATGATAGTGTGGTACAGTGCCATCTGGATAACTTCCAGTTCCTAATGGAAAACTAGTCTACAAACTTGCATATGACACTTACTCCCTAGGTCGTCACTTAAACTCCTTGACCTTCAGTCTACTCATATACAAAATGAGGGGTTTGGACTACATAGTCATTGGAGTCCTTGCCAGCTTTAGATCTATCATCCTATGAACACTACTAAGGCATGCCAAGGCAGTAATTTTCCAGTGAAGAAAACTCCTTAATAAATGAAATAAGAGATGAAGCAGTAATATATATTAAAATGGTGATGCTAATTTAAAAGAAATAAAACCCTGAAACATTTAAATTTGCTGTTTCAAGGTATAAGATTGCTGATGTTAGAAATTTTCATAAATTGCAGCTTCTTAGAAACTAATGGCTTTGTATACGTTGAATGCCCTGACATGTCCCAAACCCAAATGTCATTTATGGCAAACCTTGACTGAAATATATACTCTCAAAGGGATATAGAAAGTACAAGGTTTATTACTACTAATGCTTTCTCTATGACTCAAATTTGTCAATTTTAATAGCAATCCCCCCCTTTATGTGGTACATTTTAGATGGAAAAGTGGGTAAGAATTCAGACTTTTCTTTCTAATGAGTTTTATCACAAATGTCCATATACAATGCTTTCCCTAAAATGAGGCTTTTGAAGTCATGCTTAACAAGGAAAACAGGATTCATTGTTATTGTTCATCAAGTGCCTGCTTTTCATCATGTTCTACTTACTATACCATCCATGAAAAGAAAATACTGATTTAGATGTTTTGTCTGTGTTTAATAAACTATTCCTTCTGTTCTGTCAGAATCTGTCCCAATTTCCTTTACTGTTTAAACTGTTTAGCTAAAAGCAACTGTTCATCTTGGTTTAGACACAACAAAGTTATTTCTTTGGAAGGGTCTCCTCTTGCTCTATGTACTTGAAAATCAATTACCTAGTTTGTTTCTTTACCTTTGCAACCCCCAAAACAGGCCCCTTCCATGGAGAATCATGCATTTAAAGGATAAGGCAATTATGAAAACAATATATTGTATCTACAAGAAATTTAAATAAAAATATTACATTTGTAAGTCATTTATAAATAGCATTAATTATTTTGGCATCTTAACCACAATATGGTCAACTACTATTTTTGCAAATAATAAAGTATATAATAGTGATGTTAACAAGTTAGGATTATTAAAATCTATCTAATATTCAAGGTTTTAGAAAACAAAAACTTATAAACCTCTTCTTTAAAAAAATACTCTACATTTTTTAAACTTAACATTCAGTGGAAAATGTACATAAATACCATAAATGATATAAATAGTATTAAGTTGTAAAAATCTTAGAAATGATTTATTTAACTATGTCAGGGTCCAAGATAGCTTCCATTGTTTTCAATTCATAACACATTCCAAGTTTTGATGAAAAATGCTCTAGGTAGGGTGAGGATGAACCACATATTAGAGATGGAAATTAATGAAGGAATCTCATTGACTTGCATATCATCATGTTTAAAGATATTTCCTTTGTATATTACAGTATCATATTGACTACTTATTCTTGTAACTACACTTCGTCTCTGTAATCTTTGAATCATGCGTTATAAGAGTCTATTTCACAGTGGATTATTACTGAAAGATGCACTAATGAAGACCTAATGAATATTTATTTTGGAGCCAATCCAAATGTTTACATGAAAGTAGATAAACTTTGACACACCTTGTATACTGTCTCTATTTTTTTTCTCATTCTTTTGTATGTGGACTCAAATTTTAATTGGCAATTATTTCAATTACAGATTGAAGAAGGATACTTAAGTGAATGCTAAAAGAAGTACCACTTAATTAAAATATGAAAGTACGTTTCATAGAAGAAATATTTGAATTTAATAGGAAAAGACAACTAATGAGATTTTTGACATATTCTTGACTTGTGGCTTTGACAAGGTAGTCCCCTCAGGCCTTCTGAAATCATAATGGCATTTGGCAGCCATCACAGTAGTCCTATAACACTCTCAAGTGACTTACCTCCTCCAAAGAATAAGGAAACTTCAGGTGAAGGGATCAAGTTCAGCATTAATATCAAAATCAAATCCTTAAACATTTGAAACTAAGTAGCACTAGACCACCTGATATTTGCCATCTTTGCCTCAGTATTTAACACAGTGTTTGTTATTTCATGGAATGGCTTAAGAACTTGAATTATACATTCTATTCTCAAATGTAATTATGATTTCTTTTAGATGCAACACATACATCAATATTTCAAGTATTCCTAATTCCATATCTTTCATTACAAGCTCCATTTATCCAAAAGCTAAACTCTCTGTGTGTTAATGAATCATCCTTATGAATTGCTTTAGTTAAAGCAATGTATCAGTTGGTGGTCCACTTTTTGTTGATAAGCCATCTCAAATTTAGCTAGGCTTCTCCTAAGATAGCAAGTACACTGTCACCATGCATATGCTCAAGACCTTTCTAGCTGATAGACACTGTTAGAGCTATATGCTGCTGGTTTTGAACATTCCATTTATTTAAACCAATCTATTTTACCTTTTGGCTCATATTTTGTTTTGGCTAAAATATGAGATGATTATAAATGTTTATGTGAAGTGCTTCATAATTTGTGTCAGGATCTTCATAATAACACCATAAATTAAGAGCTAGAACACACTTCAGAAAACATCTAACCCAACTTGTTTATTATAAAATGAGGAAACTTAGGCTAAGAGAGAGTAACTGGCTTGCCCAAGGCCAAACAGGTAGGAAATGGCAAGGTTAAGATTTGAACCCAGATGTTCTGACTCCAAATCCAGCACCTCTCCCATAATGAACATAAATAATTCAATTCTTCCATCCCACACCTACCATTCAGCAGGAAAATCTAATTATACTCTAACATGTCCAAAGGGATTAAAAGAACAAAGTTCAATATATTTGAAAAGAAGACTGTCTTCACTGCTCTCTTTCAGAAAACATCCTATGAAATACTAAATATAGGTTAATATATGCTATTTCAAAACACACCTGTGAATAAATGGACCTATATATGTCTTACTCAAATTCAACATTGCAATAACAATGCCTGATGAAACACTGATGGTCTTCATTAGATTCTTGTACAGCATGATGTAAAAATTTAACATTTGTCCTCCCCAGAACAAGGGAAGACAAGTCTGTAAATGGAAGAACAATGTTTTCTGTCTATGCTAAAAGTAAAGCTCTTAAACATTATATGTTTTCTCACATCATCATGAAATATGTTTTATCTATAGGTCTGTCAACAAGTCCATGTCACATTACTTAGCTAGTTTGCTGCAAAATATTTAATTAGCATGGGACAATTAAAAAAAGGTTTTTCACTAAATTAGTTAAATTAAAGGCTCAACTATAATTTATGAAACAATAATACAATAATATCACAAACCTCCCAATCCTGGTCTCAGACGGTTATCATAACCATCTAGGAGTCGATCCAAAATCCTTGTAAATACGGTGGTATTGTCTTTAATTTCATCTTGTAGTGAAGTTTGCCCAAAGCTGGAAGCACAAATAATGGCAAATACAAATTCCTTCCAAAGAAGTATTCATGCATTCTTCTAAATCAAGCAATCCCTAAATCAACTATCTCTTTTTTTCTAGTGAAACTCCTGCTAAATCCAGAGATAGTCCAACTTCCATTTTTGTCTTATTTACTTTAAAAAATATATATTCCTTACATGAAAGCCAGGGTCAATGCTTGTCTTTATATAAATGAAAGGAATGTAATTTAAAGCTTCCTTCATAATTTCAGTAACATATTCTAGGCATTTGAGCAGTTTTCCTATTTGAAGATCTTTTTTTTTGGTTCATTTATATCACAGAATAATAACATACCTTAAAGATCAATTAATAGAATCCAGCCTTTAATAGGTAAGAAAATTGAATCATGTAAAGGTAAATTTCTTGAGGTATTATAGCCATTTGGTTGCCCAGCCAAGAATAGAATTAAAACTCCCCTTTAGTCCAATTCTCCTTTCATTGCTTACACTTGGACAGTGTATATAACCAGAAGTTACTGATTGCATACTGATTGCATACTGATTGCATACGTAACATCAGGTTAATAATCTCAGAATCTTGAACCTTAACCACCTTGCCTTCTGTGAACTCAATATAATACATTTCTTAGAACTAATCACCTATAGTGTTATTTATTTATATTTGATATAACGAAAAATGTTACTCAGAAATGAACTTTTACAAGTGACGTCACACTTCTAGGAAATTTGAAGTGATGCCACTAAATAGCAGAATTACAACCTGTTTAACATAACTAGCTTAAACAATAATAAATGCAATGTTTTGGTCAAAATATGTTGTTAATAGATCATTGATATGATCTTTTATAGAATGTGCTAGGCCTCATTTTTCTCTGCTTCTATTGGATTTTCAAACATGGATAAAAGAATAAATAAGTGAAACTAGATTTTCAGAGTTTTCTTTTGGATGGATCAAAATGATGTTATCAAAACATCATTTCAGAAGAAAACATTGATAAATGGAATATTAGTACAAGGTCCAGATTTTTAAGGATCATCTTAATCCATTTGTTACAAATAACACATTTTCAATGATTTTAAATATATTAAAAATCCCTATAACTAAATGGTTTCTGATACAAATTTCCCTTAATTAAAAGAAAAATGGTGTTTAATTTTGTATTTTGTTTGCACCTCAAGTATTTGCTTTTAACTTTCTAACCCAGTTTTTCAAGGAGTCCTGCATTTTCATGACCTCTACTTCGCAGATGACGGCAGGAATGCAGAAGCAGATTTCTGATGAAATTCCTTATAAAACTCAATGTCACCAAACAAAATACTGTGCATGTATCATTCCAAGGTTATTTGAAGGTCACATAGAGAAAACAGGAAGTAAAATGCCAGTACATCTTAGACTGTGAGAAATATATGAGTGAGCATGAGAAAGAAGTGTGTAGAGAAAAAGAGAGGAACACCATGAAGTTAGATGGTAAGGCAAGCCAAATTTGTGCAATTAATATTATATCTGGAACATCATCCATTTACCAGTACCTGCAATTTTTTTAATTAGTTTTATAGATGTTTCCAAATATAAGATATATTGCTATAATTTGCATGCATTGGGAAGACATAACTATTTTCATCTTAATATACTTTGTCCAGCATAGTAGGATATCAGTATCAAATGAGTCTTTATCACAGCATGCTTGCTTGCTTTTGACTAAAGAGGACCAGCTCTGTTAGTCTTGTGGAAATAGAGAGGTGTTTATTTTTTTAATTTGATTTGTTAATTTGATCTACTATCCCTAGCACTGCTATTTTACTGCAACACTGAAACAACTGTCCAGAACATGGAATGATGATAAAGAGGAAGAGCATTTATTTGGTATTAACTGAGTGTTTATTTTGAAAGGAAATGTCAGTTACTGTATGTGACTGTGGTTTCATACTAAACCACCATATAAAGAAACATTGTACACTAACTCCATCTACAGGTCATTACAATAGTGACACCACATAATTTTTCAAAAAGCAATGAATTACATTTAAATCTTTCAATTACATATATCTTATTGTAAGCTATATCCTCCACTCATCATTTAAATATCCTTAACTGTGAATGGTAATGAGATAGAAAGATAAACAGCTTATTGATATAAATTCTCCTATGAAGTACATGAGTTTGAAACTTATTAAATTTGCTCCAAATCATAGTAAACATGTTTTATTTTATTATCTTTTGGAAAATACTTTGTATTTTATCTTATGCCTAATTTATTCTTGTGAATAGCAATGGTGAGTTAGGTGTGCGTGGTTTTTAAATAAAAAAGTTATTTTGAAAAATTTGGTTCATGAAGTGTTACTAAAAATATATTCTCTATGGTATTAAATGTCTAGATTGGATTATTGATGGATTTTTATTTTTGCTTTGGTTACAACTATATGCATTAATATATTTCTCTTCTGACCAATTATATCCCATAATCATCACTTATTAATTCAAAGGTCATATTTTATTAAACATGTTTAAAGGTTTACAAAAAATAAATTTAAAGTATAGTTTTAATATATAAACTACATCATCATTTTTTATAAAATCTAGAGTTCAAACCTGAGGTATATTTGGAGGTATTGTGTGCCTACACTCATGTACACCTAAGTTTAATATAATAGATATATTATTTGATGGAACATAGTGATGCACCTGAAATTGGTAAGTTTGTTGTTGTTGTTCTTTCTGAATTAGGAAATAGTATGTTACAAGCAGATTCAATTTGGCAAAGAAAAGTTCAATTTTAAAATTTAATGCTATATTCCTATATTCTTTGTTGAAGGTTGTTAAGCATAATCTAATTAGAATTCCATGCTAAGAAGTGGCATTATTCTTTCAGGTTACTCTTCTTTAGACTTAGCTGGGATTTAACTCCAATTAACTTTCCTGAATTCCCTTAGAAGTGCTTCCATTCAAGCAAAATTTACTTCTCCCTGTTTGAATAAATGAAAGGTTATAGAAATATTCATGCAGTTTTAAAATAAAGTATCCCCACCTTTTTCCAGCAAGTGCATTCAGAAGGAGTGTCCAGGCCCAAAGATATTCAGAAAGACCAAGTTTCCTCTTCATCTTGGTTTTTGCTAGCTAAAAAATAAAAAAGTAGATATCAACATCCCTTTCAGGAAAAGTTGGGTTATAGCCACTAGGACTGAGGCCATTTAGATGAATGCTTTCAAGTCAGGAAATGACCTCACAGTGATATAACACCTCATTGGAACAGTACAAACATGGCCCCATCATTTTCTACTCTCCCTTTCATTTCTCCATTGAGAAATAAATCTATATCTTTACTCTCCTTGGAAAAGCACACACATTTAAATACTTTCTGATGATACTTTTCCAACTTGAGAACTCTCTTTGGGGACTTGACTTTTCAACCTTTCCAGTATAAAGAAACTCATCTTCTTCCCACTTTTTTGTTTATAATCTAAAAACTTGGTCACCTCAAAATTAAGTTTCCAAGAATTTACTGTGCAATAAAATTTAAAACTATTTGTCATATCCTGGAGAGTGTATTATTGTAGAAGGCAATAGAAAGTTTTTTTTTTTTTAATGGCTGTATTTCTCTTCTGTATCCTGTATCTACCTTTATCTCAGAGCTGACCATGCTTATCTTTATCTTTTGAAACCTACTTGTTTGTACACAAGAATAATGCTAGAATTCTCCTCCTTATGATTTCCTATTCAGTATGCACACTAACACTTCCATGAAGGTAAAGGACATACTTTATAATCCAACCATGTGCTGATTACATATACATGCAAACACACTGACATTTCATAGCCCCATTTTTTTTCATGCTGCCTGTTTTCTTATAAGCAGGATATTTTCAGATGGAAGCCCGCAGTGCATTGTTTCTGCCATGATTTTATACAGGATATTTCCCTTTTAGATAAAATGCAACTATTGCTAATTGTTGGGTTTTGATAGTGTGGATTGTTAGGAGAATGAATGGTAGGAAGGTTTTAGTAATGCAAACTTTGAATCTATTTATGGCTTCAGTTTTCAAATCCAATTCAATATTTGGGTTTTGAATAGATTTCTATATTTTTGCATGCACTTTAATTGAAACATTCAGAAATGTAAATGCAAATTTGTATCTCTTGGTAGTTGAGAAGATTAATTAATTACAGTACATTAAAACACTTTATAAATTAAGTACTCTACAGTTTAATATGGTATGCCTTTAAAATAAATCCACACCAATTCATTCCACACTCTCAGGGACTATTTAAATCAATTAAAACAAACAGTTATGATCAGACATGTGAGCAATAAAACATAATGTATTTTGAGTAAAATGATCTAGAGATTAAGAAATGCTAATCCACCAATAGATCTGAGTTGATTTCATATTGGCTTTGACAAAGAGGAGTTAAATATGACAGGAAAGAAACAAAAATCTATGTAGTAAGAGATTGCATTCAAGTTGCACACACATAATGCACCTTCCAATAAAGCAGCAACATCTGAATAAAGTAAAATAGCTTCTCTTACTGAACTCAACTGACTTTAAAAAAATATTTTTGCTTTGGTTTTTGTTTAAATCTCCCAAAAGATTTCCTAGGCATTGAGCTCCAGGTCTTTGCCATCCTTTAATTTTTTTAAGAGGAAAACAATCCCAGCAAGATACTACAGTTGCTGAAGAAGTAAAGTTTCTTGCAGCATGAAAAAAGAAATGCAAACATGCCAATTTATAAAGGAACCCCAGGCTACTTTCTTCTCTACATGCCTCCCCCTTTCTCAACACACACACACACACACACACACACACACACACACCCCAATATAAAGGCTTTAAAAATATAAATTCTTGAGTTTACCAAATACAAAATGAGAAAGACTTTCACACGCAAAAGCATTTCCGCAGCATCCACTGGAAGAAAAAGGGGGAAAGATGCATTTAATGCATTTTGGTGCCAGATAAAAAGAGTGCCTTCACCCAAAGCTTACATTGAAACATGTTTTGCTTCCCATCATTGCAACTTTGGACCATATCCCTCTCACCCCCACCTTTGCAAAATAGACCAAAACAAGTCTTATTTCCCCTTCCTATTCCAAGAATAAATTCCAAATTCAAATCGACCCAAAGCCAGGGGAGAAGGTAGGGGGAGAGTAGCGGGTGACCCAGCAATTGCTGAGGTTTTCATCCTTTTTTTTCCCAATCTTTTCTACCTCCTGTGGAAACGGGCTCTTCGCATTCTTCCTCTCCCTCTCTCTCTTCCCCTTGTAGCTTCCTGATCTCTCAGGCTTGAAAAACCCACGTTCAAAGGTCTGCTCGCTGTCCTGAAGCAGCACTTACCTCCGGCCCCCTCCAGGCACTGGATGTCTGAAGACGCGGGCGGGGGGCGGAGGGGTTGGGAAGGGAGGGTGGAAAGTCTGCCAGAGAAAATCGCCAAGAAATCGGAGCTGGTGAGAGTAAGGGATGGCTGAAGGACTGGAGCTGACTGTTGTCCCTGGATCTGCCTCTCACTCATACAGTCTGAGGCATCATGGACTCTTCTGTACTTCAATGTTGAAGATTTCACACCCAAATTTCTTCCCAATATTCGGTCTGCAGATATACAACAAAAGATTTCTCTTTAGCAAGACAGTAGTAATACGTCCCAGGGTAAACCGGATGTGAAATAGGCAGTGACTTCATGCCAGAGAGATTTTATTTTAGAAAGGAAGGTGGTACCAGTCTCTCCATCTAGAGACCAATCCGCCCATTTTTTTTATATGCAGCACAATTTAACTTGCACTGGTCTCGCCCTAATCCCCCTCGCTCTAGCTGCAGACTCAAATCCTTCTACAATCTGCAGCAAGCTTTTTTTTTTTTTTTTGAGGGGGAGGGGATGGGAGAACTTCAGAGATTGAATTTGAAATCATTTGACACTTGCAATTTACTAACAGAGTATTTTAAGACTTTCCTATTAAAAATAAAACTGGTCTTCGTTAGTAGTCTACCTTTGATGAAATATTTAACAGCTGCATAAATATGAATGATCAAGAGTTCTGAAATGCGGAGATGCAATGTTATAAATGAAGAAAACATACTTCCCACCTCTTCACCTCTACATATGTGCAGGTCCCCGTGTATTATATGATACGGGACGATGAACCAGGAGTTCAGCAGCAGTGTTTATGAGATGCCCGCACACTTACACTCATAGAACGGTATTGGGACAGGACTGAGAAAACTCTCTTCAACTGTCTTTTGCTGCTTTCAAGGGCGTAAGCGAGCGCGCTTTAAGGGCTGAGTTTTATCTCTGCAGAGCAACTGTGTGATTGTAGAAAACACGCACACATATTTGACTCTGTATTTTGAGAATTTCGAGTATTTAAGTTGAACAAATCGTGCTAATGATTTGTGGGCTCAAGAAAACAACAAGTGCCTCCGTTTCCGGATCTCCGCTCTTGTCCCAAACTCCGTATGTTACCGCAGCGGGGTGGTGGTGGTGGTGGTAGTAGTGTTGATGAACGATAGGAGAGGAAGACAAGGAAAAAAAGAGAGATCTTTCGGGTGTAGGGGGGGCGAATAACTTTCACTATCCTCTTTCTTTCTCTCTCCTCCCCTCCCCCTGGCCCACAATCCTCACCTCGACTCCTCTTCCCTCCCTCTCTTACTCCGTGTAAGCTTACATACTAAATATTGGTAGGGTGGGTGGTGGGTGTTCACGACAGTCAGTCTAACTACATTTCTATGTAAACTGAGATGACGGTGGTTCTCTTCCCAGATTTTTGTGAATGAGTGCGTGTTAAAAAGGAATGTATGGGCGATGCTTTCAGAAAGCTTTGCTGAAGCTCTGACCTAGGTGGCCCACAGCTCTGGGAGCTGTCCCTTCAGCACCACCATGCCGGAGCTGTAGGTGGTGCTGAATAGTAGGGGTAGTATAATCAGGACAGACCCCACTGGAAAAGAATAAAAAGAGACCAACGCTTTAGCTATCTTCTTGTCCTTTTATAATAGGAAGAAAACTAAGCGTGGAGGGGTTCAGGGGAAGGATGACATATGTAGGACTTGGTCATGTGAGACAACAACATATCTGCCTCCAAATACCATATCTTTGACCCCCGATATAGAGGTGTACCTGAACACTTCCATTTGACTATAATCTGATTATTTGAATACAAAAGGAAAATAATTGTAGAAATAAGAAATGAACGTTGAAAACTCATTAAGAATAATCTTTGACTATCTTTTGGGGTTTTTTGGAGCCAAATATAATTTTACGTTTATAAACTGTGTAGGAATTCAGTGATTCCAGTTCACTCAACTCAATTCCCCGAGCATGATTGTTTTATTCTAATTTAAACTAGGTGATTCCTCACTTTATTACTGAAAATTTCCAGTCTAACACAAGAAAGTCACACTGCTCTGAGTAACATTCAGATGAAAAAATTTTCTCAAGGAATCATATTATTAAAATGATATTTGAATTTTCATACTCATACTTTGCTGGTTGATGGATAACAAATTCTTTTCACTTCTTATATTTGAAAACAATCAGAACATCATCCTTTGGTATTCTTTTCAGGTTACATTATTCCAATTGCTTTCACTTTTCTCCATCTGCTGAATGAAATGTATTTCACTTTGTTCATTTGTCTCATTACAAACACACTACTAAAATCGGTCATTCACACAATGTGCTTTTGCAAACAACTGGCCAGGATTTTTATATTTGAACATTAGACTCTGAAGAGTAAGACAATGATACAATTAATTCTCATAATGTGCAATATAACTATACATTTATAGTTACAGAGCACCCATGAATTTTTAAAATGAGGTCACTTCAGAAATGCCTTACTATTCAGTTTGAAACTATAAAGAGTTTTCAAATGTACTTGTCACAGAATTTATATTACTACTCTCTCTTGAAAGTAAGACACACAGTTTCCATAACTATATATATTTGCTTACCATTATTTTTATAATATGTGCACATTTTTACATGTTTCCTGTCACTTGAATATTGAAAATCTAGATTCTAAGACCTACTAAGGTTTTGAAACTATGTGAGAAACATTACAATTCAGCATTTTGTCTACTTTTATTTTTTATCTGGTGCCATTTCATAAT